GTATTAAATAAATTTATTTACCAAGAGTAATCCGTTTTTCTGCTAGATTCTTTCGTTTTGAATGAAAACGCATCAAATGAGTATATTTTTATTAAGATTTTAGATGAGATGGGTTATTCTAAACAATTACATCGCAAACAATTATCTGGTCAAAAAAGTTTTTGACTTGTTGGCCAGTCAGTATCAGATCAAGTGTACTATTTTTTAATTTTAGTTAAAATTCTTTAATTTTAAACTCTAAAGATAACTCGTAATTTAATTTAAAAAGAAATCAGCGAGCAATAGCTTGCTGCTCGCAGTGATAAGAGTTTGGAATTTTTTGCTTTCAGCGTGCAGTCAAAGGCCAGTGGAGAGTAGAATTCCTAGAAAATCAGAGTCTGGCCATACTCTAAAAATGTGCGTGTTCGAAAATGAATAAGTTGTTTAAATGTACTTACTTTATATAAAGAAAAATAGATAAAACAATAATCATATTCATCAGATAATTGAATATGATTGACTCCAAAGATAAGAATCTCAAACATTTAAATGCTTAGCGAGTAGGCTAATTCAATGACATATTTAAATCAAACTTTTTGTCTGTGAAGTAAAGTTGGAATCTTTTATAGTCGATAACTTTCCGTGAAGGAGAGAATGAAATATAGAAAGCCCCTCAAAATAACTCATTCTGTTTAAACTTTCGGATTCACTTCGTATGCAGAATATTTGATCTCTCTAGATAACATACTAGTATACGATATGATAAATTTAAACTTTTTAGGTCACAAATTAGATGAGATATGATTCATATTATCTATAATAGATTTTTGTCATTAAAAACGAATCTACAAATAAAATTGATGTATCACGTCACATATTTGAAAAATTGAATTTAAAGTTGCTAAAAACTTTTGGATAGTTTGGAGCTAAAATAGTTAAAAAATGTGATGTGATAGAGCAATTTCATTTACGGAATCGTTTCACAGTACACTTTATCCAAAGGACGTCTCAAGGATGTCTTTAGTATGTGCGAACGTCTTTTGAACGTCCCATGGATATCTATGCTATGTTGAAAATTTTCAATGACAAAAAATCTAAGAATTATTTTTTGATTGTCTAAAATTTGTTTAATATATTAATTTAGTCCAATTTATTAATTTAGTCCATTGCGCCCTAAAATGGACGTTTTTAAGAAGTCCAAAATGGTAACACTGAATGTTTTTAAAACGTTTTTTAAATATCCATGGATCTAATCTGGATGTTTTTAATATGTCCAAAATGTCCAACATGTATGTTTTAAATATATTTTTAAAACATTATTGTGCTGTTTGGGTATGTATACATTGTATCTATAAAGGTGATTTATATCTCTGAAGAGGGCTAAAAAATGAGCCGAAACATGTAAGCGAGTTATTGTAATAAAGAGTTTTATTGTTATATCTGTATATTATCTACGTAACGACTACTATTACCCTGTCATCTCCAAATTTCTTTTGAATTACCTATTCTTGTATTATATTAGACAAATATTTTCAAAGTATTATTTCATGAAAAAAAAATTTTAGAACTTGGGAATAGGTGCTGTCCAAAGTGCGCTAATTATTCAAAGAAATTTCTCAATATAAAAGTTAAATTTATTGAAAAGACGACAAAATCAATAATCGTTAAACGATAATAATTTTCGTACGTTTCGGTTAGTCTTCTAACCTTCTTCAGCGATAATAGATGCAAAAGTTGTATACTTAATCTGTTTACGTATACAATAAAGATATGAAATTATTGCATTATTCATTTATTGCAGTCTCCAGAAAAGCCAAGCTAAATTCGCTGTAGAGAATACATTTTCCCATGCCAATTACAAGGCTGAATGGCCCTCATGATGTCATCAATGTCTTTAATAACAAAATAAAATAAGTATTTTTATATGGAAAAGGGGATATACAAAGAACTCACCTGTCACGAAAACTGCAATCACATAAAATAAACTGCTAATCTAAAGTCTTGCAGTACTTTCTTTCTGCAGTACTATCTTTTAATAAAAGATTGATTTCGGAAGCGATCCATATAAAGCAACAGAAACAGAGTTTGAATTTACAGAATGATACGTATTCTTTGGATCCATTATACATGAATTTGTTTACTGAATTGTGACGTTGATATTACCTTCTTTTGTTCTTAGTTTTATTTTTATTTCAATAATTACTTGACTCTATTATTTTGACTCTCATTGTATCTCTGACTGTCGACACCACAAGTTCTTTACGTGAAGCCGCGAGAAAACGCTTATATGTAAGTAGATATAATAGAAAATTCAGACAAATAATTTTAATAATTCTCTAATTTTCGTTTCGTGTTTTTTTTTGAATGACTACATAACAAATCTGACAATCTGATGAACGATGTGATTCTACGTAGTGACGCAATGCATACGATTTCAGTTTTACTTTATGTAAGTTTTATATTGTTATTGTATAATGTAATAATTTTGATAATCATTGGGCTATTCATTACATAGCTAATTTGACATTTGGATAAGGAAGAACGAACTAATTTGTTGGGAATCATCAACTTGGAATTTGCGTTAATTATATAATTTCGATTTATATTTTATATTGATAAGGACCGGAATTGAAGGGTTGAAACGTATATTTTATTTGTTTTGTTACATTTATACGAAAAATAAAGAATTTTTGTGCATCCGAATAGCTGATGTAAGCTCTGATGGGCTTTTTTACATTTGTCACTGATAGATTCTTTCGAGCCTCATTATATATATTTGTCTAAAGTCTTGATAGCAAGAATCGTCCACAATTGAAGATTTTTAGTCAAATTATAAAATAATAAATAAAATGATAAATAAAATGTACAGTACGGGATAATGTGTCGATGATACGTTGTCAAACAGTAAAATGAACAGAAATCGTAAAAGCTTAAATTTAAAAATCAAGTTTAATGTCAATAAAAAAAAACAAACTAAGAGTTAAAATAATTAAAATATACTTGGTTTAGCAGTTTTGTGTCTGTTTTCAAATTAATGCTATTATTCTGTTGTTTTACATTGATTATCTTTGATATCAATCTCTTATTATAATTTTGTTAATATTTATCTAATATTTTAATCTCTTTCCAATAGAAATTGTGACTATGATGCAACCTATGATTTGTGATTACAAAATGTGTTGTTGTGTTTCTATTAATGTGACACCTGCGCTCAGTGATTCTTATTTTCAATTGTCTCCTCGTTTGTCCAACATAGGTCGCATCACAGTCCTTCCAAAAAATTTTATATCAGACACATTATCCCGTACTGTACATTTTATTTATCATTTTATTTATTATTTTATAATTTGATTAAAAATCTTTAATTGTGGACGTTCCTTGCTATCAAAACTTTAGATTAGCAGTTTATTTTATATGATTGCAGTTTCCGTGACGGGTAAGGTCTTTGTACATCCATTTTCCCATATAAATAATAAAAATACTTATTTTATTTTATTATATTAAAGGCGCCGATATCATGAGTTCCATCCAGCCTTGTAACTGGCATAGGAAAATGTATTTTTGACAGAGAACTTAGCTTGCTTTTCCTGGAGACTGCAATAAATAAATTTCACATTTTCCGTTCTTTTATTGTATACGTAAACAGATTAAATATATAACTTTTGCGTCTATTATCACTGAAGAAGGTTAGAAGATTAACTGAAAATTATTATCGTTTAACAATTGCCCTTAATTTTATGCATAATTTTATATCGTTTGCCCTTAATTTTATACATAATTTTATATAATTTGATATATAATCCAGATTTATAAGGTTGATTCAAGATATGATTCAAGGTTTTAAATGAAGAAAGAATTGATCAATTGATGAATTGTTGACCGAATTGTTCAAATTTGACTTGATAATTCTTTCTGTAACGAGACCTTGGACTGATTTTTATTATCGCGAAGACAAGGCTTTAAGATTTGTATTAAAAAAAAACGCGAATGTTACCTTCTTAAAATAAAGATAATTCCTAGGTATCGCGCAAAACCAAATTTTGGTTACAACTTCACTAGTACGTCCAATCGGTGTAAAATTCATACGGTTTAATATTCTTTTTAAATCAATCCATAAAAATTTTATTTATCCACACCATTTAAAATTCTTTTTCATTTTTTTTTTTACACACTTTCTGACATTCTTCTATCAATTTCTAATGTTTCTATCAGTTTTGTATTATTCTTTATAAAGGGTATGGCTCTACGCACAATAGAATGAATAAGGAATTAGGAATAAAGAATAACGATTTTCTCAGAAATCGGATATATCAAAATACACGGTTTTTGATAAGTTAAAATCATTACTCTTTATTTCTAATTCCTTATTCCTGCTATTATGCGCAGGGCATCATAGTTTAAATGCAGTTAAAGTAATATAAGCGCCACCTGGGTGAATATACCAAAATGAACTAATGCGGCCCGAAACTTTATGTGGTAGTTTGCCATGTATGATTAGTGTCGCTAGTGTACCGGAATTTCGAGCGTGTCACGAAATAGACTGGCACCTCTCTCTATACTCCTATGACTTCGATATTCGAAGTATTTGACATTGATAGCAATTCACGGGTTAATTGACTAGTTAGTGTGAACTTTGAATAAAACAAGTCGGAATAACTCAAGACAAGAAAGATGGCCTTAGAAGATTATAAAGAAGTTGTAGGATTTTGTGCGATGTATACTACAATGGCACAAATGTTATCTGGCACGTAAGTATGCTATGATAGTAATATTTTTGGTAATTATCCAGAAGACTCTCTTCACCTTCAGTTTCAATGGAATTATGTTCATTCGATGTGTTTTTGCATGAAACGAAAGAATCTGGTTGTAAAATATGTCCAGTTCCGCGAAGTGAGATATTAATCATTAAAGTTGGTAATTGTTCTGTTTAGCAACGTCACCAGAAATCGATGGCTGCGTTTAGCAGAACGTTTATTTTGCAATTATTGGAAGTTTTTTCGCTGATTGGATTATGCTTTTAGATCAAGAGGAATGGTCCTATCTCAGCAGAGAATTATAAAACTGTTGCAAAACTGTTGTGTTCTGCTGAACGCAGCTGATGAAAGTAGGCTCACTTAACGCGTTTTTGTTCGAAACGAACGAATCTGAGTCGCTCTGCCTCACGAACTGAAACATTAAGCGTTAAAATAGGCAATTATTGAGATTAGAAAATCCCGTAAGCCGTGAAATACTATACTGCGGTCACATTTTCATGCTCTATGGCCACATGTGAACTGCATTCGAGAAGTGGAACACACCAAGTGCTTCCAAGTATCAGAAGATTTGTTCGCGCGTCGTATGCTCTAACATGCTCTAAAATGCTCCTACCATAACATTTACTCATTTTAACACGCTTATTGAAGTGAGTAGAAGCTATAGCAAGAGTACATTGGAGCATGCTGGAATATGCGACGCGACAAACCTTCAGACAATCAAGAGAGAGGGGCGAAGAGTGTTCCTCTTCTCTGATTGGTTCCGTCATTTATAGTGCACTTCCGCAAATGTGCATGTGTGTGTGTACATATATGTTATGTAGAGAATTCGGTCGCCTGCACTAGTGTATACAGAGTGCAAATTTTCCCAATCCAGCGTGTTCGATCGATGGCTCCTGTTTGGTGCACTCGTATTCGGTAATATTGCACTATTATGATACACACCATATTCTGTTTGATTAAGATATATCCACACAAACTTGCATAGCCGCATAATCGTATGCATAAAGAAAATTATCCAATCACATTTTACGTACAACTTTATAAGAGAAATGTGTGAATACTCAATAACGGGGAGCACACTCTTGCCTAATGCATAATACATGAGGCATAAGAAAATGAACCAATCAAAGTCATTTATTTCCTTCTTTTTTATAAAATAAAGGACTCTGATTGGTTGATTTCCTTATGCCTCATGTTTTATGCGTTAACCTGGATCCTTATACAGACAACAGCGCTTTGATACAGAAAGTTGATTGGTGAAAAGTCTGTTGTGGGGATAAAATTTACTTAATTTATCCATTACTCGCGTTTTTCATCAATCAGCGTACAGTGTCAAAGCGCTGTTGCCCATATGAGAATCATTATGGCTTATGCAAAAATCTGTGCTTCCTGCTATAGCATTACACTGGCGTAGCATTGATTTTATATGCGGATACATAAAGGAAACGGAACAAATGCAAAATTTCTAGCACTTCCAATTTCGACAGTGCAGTTTGCTGACACTACTGGGAAATCGCGTTAGATTGAAGTAATGACGTTTAAACGATTTTTGTTTCTAAATGAAATATTAGAAAGCAACAGTGACGATGAGATAGCAAATTTTATTGTTAATTGCATAAAAGAAAAAAAAAACCAAAAATAAAGAATTTCATGGATGTTATAAATGAGCACTCGAATAAAGAAGGAAGTAAATTTATATAATAATAAGAATTTTTATGATATATATGTATGTATATATATAATCATGCTATATACAATATATACATATAAATCTCAGAGATGATTTAATATTTCTACTATAATTGTATACATACAGTATAATATTTAGTTTCAGAGAAATTTTCGTTTACGATGAGATACATATTTATAATTAAAAAATTTATATGAAGAATCGCATTTTTGCCAAAATACTATTAATCACATATCAAATGATGCAAAATTGCTAGCATATTTGTGGTAATAAAATATATTTTAAAAATATATTACACACACACACACACACACACATACACACAAATATGTTTATATATGTATATTTATTTCTATGATATAAAAAATATTAATTAAATAGTACATATATATACATTTATTTAAATATTTTTATTAAAGGTTTGCAGATAACAAAAGTGCTATTAGAGATGTAGCAAGCAGGTTTAATATGGCAGAATCCATATTTCACCTTATTTGTGACAATATTATGGATTTTTTGTGTAACTTGGCGGGGTCTATTATAAAATTTCCAGAATTGAAGAAAAGGCAAAGATTTCAGAACAATTTGAAAATGTAATTAAAAGAGAAATATTCCTATGAATTATATATTAAATGTATTTTAAACAAGAAAACTTTTTAATCAATAGGCGATAAGAGCCGATATCGGATATTGTATTTAATTTACTAACAAAAATTAGATCATGATGATATTACATATGTTTCGCTCTCTAGTTCGGATTCTTTTCAGTGTATATAATTATTTTAGCAATTATTCATATATAACGCATAATCGAAATTGTTCGCAATAATTCTATTGTCGACATTTCATTGAATAAAGTATAAATTAAGCACGTAATATAGAAATTCTTCAAGACGAATTAATAAAATCGACATACGTAAATCGATATAACATGACTTCTTTGACTGCAAGCAATGTGATGCGAAGGATGTTTTTACAGGGCCGCCTAGTAAAATTCATGATACACGTTTCAAATTATCTTTCATAAGTAATATATTGCCAGATATACGTGGGAATGAATGGCATATATTGGGCGACTCTATCTTAAAAAAAATATCTTATTATTCCTTATCGAGACTATGAAAATTTGACACAGACGCAACGAAATTTCAATTATAAATTTTCTGTTTGTCGTGAAAATCGAAAATGCCTTTGGTTTGTTAAAAGCATTCAGACAATTAATGAAGTTAAGAGTTTCATACCATTCAACATTGCTGTAAATTTATTATAGCGTATTGTGCATCACACAAGTTGTGTATTTTTCATGAAGATGAATTAGATGATTTGTTAGAGGAAATAAATGAACAATTTCAAAACAATAAAATTAATTTAAAAGTAAATTATGAAGATAATGAGTTGCAGGTGAACAAAAAAGACTTTTTATGTGAAACATTAGGTTAATTTATAACGTATAAAAAAATAGCTTTTAAGCTTACAAATAGCTTTAAATTTTTTTTATTTGTGACTACAGCTTTATAACATAAATATTGCATTACAAGAACACAATAATATGATTGTATTATGATTTCATTAACTGTAGAAATATTTAACGTTGTGTAATTTGTATATATTTGTTTTGAAAAGTAAATAAATAATAATAAGAAGAAAAAAAACAAAGTTATGTAGCATTATATTTCGTAATACTATGCAAATATCAATGAAGTATATTAATATTTGTGAAACTTGGTGAATTCGATCACTCGCACTACACTGAATCAGTGCATATTAAAAGCTGCTTTATATGAAATATCTCAATACAGTGATACAATATAGTCAATTTTTTCAATAAAATGATATATATATTTTGTTAAATAACGTGACATATCATTAGTAGATAGTTAATTGTTTAAAATGTTTATACACTTTTGCATTTAATTTTGCTAATGTCATGTAAAGAAGCTTTTAATATGCACTGATCTAGCGTAGCGCAAGTAACCGAATTCATTATTAAAATATATAATAATACTGTACATACGCTGCTAGAAAAGTTTCTGCAAAAAATATGAAAAAAAAACATGTAAAATTCGGTAAATGGTTTTATTGTTTTTCGAAGTATTCGCCTTTAAGATCGATACATTTTTGCATATGCTCGAACCAATTTTCGAAGCATTTTTTCCACTCTATGGCTGTAACCTCAGAAATCAGTGTACGAAATGTTTCAACAGCTGCTTCAGGCGACTCAAATCGCTCACCACGCATCTTATTTTTATTGTTTGGGAACAAAAAGAAGTCATTAGGTGATAAATCAGGTGAATACAGACAATGAGTCATCAATTCGACATTATTACTGGATAAAAAATCAACGGTTTGACGTGCTGTGTGACAGCTAGCGTTGTCATGATGAAGGATGATGCGACGATGTCGGTTTGTTCTACGCAATTCATTTATGACTTCTGGCAAACAAATTGTTATATACCAATCAGTATTTACAGTCCTTCGATCCTTTAAAGCCACGGTTGTCATGTCCGGTATAATCGCGAAGAAACAAGCAATCATTTGCTTGGCAGCACTGCGTGAACGAACTATATATACTATGCAAATATTAAAATATATACGAGGTCTGGCTATTAAATAACGAGACTGCGCGCGCAGAAGGCGTCCTAAAGGGGTAGGGTGGGAAACGAATGTAGCGTTGGATAGCTGGAAGTGTCTACTATTCCAGTACGAAAACACGTTTTTGTCGCAGTAGTAGTATTTTTTC